TATAGGTATACTTGAAATCAAAATATAGTTAAAACCCCGATCATATATATCATATATATTATCTTTGTAAAATCAATAGAACATATTATCACCACAGCAGTAGCTTTAAGTAGATAGGTAGGTACCTATATATGTGTTATGTATACTACATATTATGTTATATATTTAAATAAATGCGTGGCATTAAACRTACATAATATATATTATTATATAATGATGGTGTTACTCACGACTAGCTAGCCTGTCCCTCCAGGCGATCGGGTTATTGACCAGACCTTGGAAGCCCGGCCAGTACAGGTTCCTGGTGGTGAGGTCAGCCAACGTGGTGGCCGGGTGCTTGACACCACCGTTGTGGAAGTATGACGCTGCAGCAGCCATCCCGGCGGCCGCGATGCCGGCCACGCTGTTGAACGCCCGCTGCTGGTGGCTGATGGCGGCCGCTGCACCGGTGGTCGGCGGCCGCGACAGTATCTGCTCGATTCCATGTGGGTTGCCCGCCGTGCACCCGTTCTTCATCTCGGTCATGGTGTGCAGAGCAGCAAGAGGTGGACTGCTGCTGCACGGCACGTCCAAAAAGTTGAACATTGGTGACAGCATGTTGTGGTGATGGTGGTGGTGCTGCTGCTGAGACAACATCATCGTAGAGCCCAACGACGACCTAAATATTTGAATGATAAAAAACGTGACAGTTTATTAAATTAGGTATATAAATTGCATTATTTTTAATATMATATATTGTATTTAAAATATATATCATCGAWGCAATTATATACATTTTAATACTTAAATATCATATATTATTCCTATCAGTATAGGTACATAAATCAAGWGGATCTCAATAAATTATAAATGTGACATATGTTTTTCGAAATTTAGAATTTTTATTCTATTTCTATATTTATTGACAAATTATGTAATTTAGCACCTGCAATTCAATACAAAAAATCGTGTGTGTATAGTTGTCAATATTATATATAAGTATACACTCTCCGATAAAATTAGGAATAAAGGCCGTTTAAAAGAACTATATCGTCGTATGAAGTCATAATAAGCAGATATTATAGGTATCGTTTATTTTTATAGTGCGTATACCTATACCTATATAATATATTACACATATTATAATAAATAAAATAAGTTGTTGCAATCATATATTGTAATAATTATATAAATATTGGAAGAATACCTATATGCAATATTATATAACAATATATATACATAATATGTGAATAGGTGATATTATTATGTACTTAMATATGGGAAATAGCCTGCTGTATCACTATAATATAGGTATAATATAATGTACATTGTGCGTACCTATTACAGGCTATAATGTCATGTACGTTATAGGTTTTACTGCAGTACAGTATTCGTACATCTATTATAAATATGTGTGAGTGTGAGTGTGTATGTGATATGTATATATACGCGCGCTGTCGTCACGTCCAACCCACGAGGAGACCGTTACATCACAATGATCCCGCGTCACGACCCTCCGAAATGTATATATCGATGTAGAAACTACATATAATATAATATATTATTGTTAATGTTCATAATACTGGAAAATTTCCATTCTCATCGCTGCGCAGCTATAGGTACTGCAATTATTATATACGGCGTGGTATATTATTCTAGTTTCATGAATATATATTATATAGGTACCTACATTATTTTACGTATTATTGATAC